TTAAAGTAAAACAAAAAAAAAAAACAAATTTCCCCCCCCCCCCCCCCCAAACACACACCACACACACCACCCACTCCTGGATAGGACCCTATTGTACCGATAATTCAATACCATCAGGTTTAACAAGATAAATTAAAAACTATTTTGTAGTCTTTGGTAGGGCATTTTGCAGTTTCACCACTTTCATGGGAAAGGACACATATGCTGACAGTAAAATCTTTTTTCGCTCATACCAATAATGTTCTTTGCACAGCTCTTGGGATGAAAGTTGATTTGCAAAATCTCAGTATTGAATTTGAATATACAGTATCTCACAGAAGTGAGTACCCCCCTCACATTTTTGTAAATATTTTATTATATCATTTCATGTGACGACACAGAAGAAATGACACTTTGCTACAATGTAAAGTAGTCAGTGTACAGCTTGTATATCAGTGTACATTTGCTGTGCCCTCAAAATAACTCAACACACAGCCATTAATGTCTAAACCGCTGGCAACAAAAGAGAGTACACCACTAAGTGAAAATGTCCAAATTGGGCCCAAAGTGTCAATATTTTGTGTGGCCACCATTATTTTCCAGCACTCCCTTAACCCTCTTGGGCATGGAGTTCACCAGAGCTTCACAGGTAGCCACTGGAGTCCTCTTCCACTCCTCCATGACGACATCACAGAGATGGTGAATGTTAGAAACCTTGCGCTCCTCCACCTTCCGTTTGAGGATGCCCCACAGATGCTCAATAAAGTTTAGGTCTGGAGACATGCTGGCTGGGCCAGTCCATCACCTTTACCCTCAGCTTCTTTAGCAAGGCAGTGTTCGTCTTGGCGGTGTGTTTGGGGGTCGTTATCATGTTGGAATACTGCCCTGCGGCCCAGTCTCCGAAGGGAGGGGATCATGCTCTGCTTCAGTATGTCACAGTACATGTTGGCATTCATGGTTCCCTCAATTAACTCTAGCTTCCCAGTGCCAGCAACACTCATGCAGCCCCAGACCATGACACTCCCACCACCATGCTTGACTGTAGGCAAGACACACTTGTCTTTGTACTCTTCACCTGGTTGCCGCCACACAGGCTTGACACCATCTGAAGCAAATAAGTTTTTCTTGGTCTTATCAGACCACAGGACATGGTTCCAGTAATCCATGTCCTTAGTCTGCTTGTCTTCAGCAAACTGTTTGCAGGCTTTCTTGCACATCATCTTTAGAAGAGGCTTCCTTCTGGGATGACAGCCATGCAGACCAATTTGATGCAGTGTGCGGTGTATGGACTGAGCACTGACAGGCTGACCCCCCACCCTTTCAACTTCTACAGCAATGCTGGCAGCACTCATATGTCTATTTCCCAAAGACAACCTCTGGATATGACGCTGAGCACGTGCACTCAACTTCTTTGGTCGAGGCCTGTTCTGAGTGGAACCTGTCCTGTTAAACAACACAGACAAAAATAAAAAATGCTTTCATTCATTGAATAAGGGAAGGCTAGCAGTCCTGAATTTTTTTTTCTTTTTTGCCGTCTGTGTCCCTGTTACAGATTTTCTCTTACTTTCTGCCTGGATAAACTGTTAAGGGACAAGTAAAAACCTCTTAGGGAGCCCTGGATAGCAGTAAAATTGCAAGGGGTACTAAGGAGTACTTTTGTTCTCCATTGTCCATGTGTGTGTTTTAAAATGGCCACCGCTCCAAGCTCGCTCCTGTAATGGACTACAATCTTAATACAAATTATTAAACTAAATGTGAGATTGTAGTCCATCACGGAAGCAAGCTTGGATCGGTGGCTACTTTACAACACACACAAGTACAATGGGGAACAAAAGTAGCCAACCTCCAGAAGGAAGAGCAGTGTCAGCTGCAATTCAGAAATAATCTCAGGATCTACAGCTGAGAAAGGTACATAAGGTACTTAAATGCATTTTGTAAGATTTGGCTCCTGGGTTTAGGAATATTTTAAATAAGCCAATTTGTCAGGTATATGCTCAACAGAATCCGCATTTTGTAACTTTGTCATCATATCTAGAAATCTTCTTTGTAAGGAATATTCAACACTGTATATGTGTAACCATTTTATATGCAGAAACATTAATCTACAGACTAAGGTCTAGAGGTAGAAACTTGTCAGGTTTTTTATTTTATTTTATTACCGTCTGTAAAGATTTATTTTAACTTTCTCTGTGGTCAAAAGGCAATGGATTTATGAACAATATCCCTAAATGAAAAACAGACAGTGATAACAACCTGGAAGAGATTCTAAACTTTCCCCACTCTATATAATCACAAAATATATTTGATTAGAAGTTCAGCTACCCAAACTCCATGCCCTTCCATCCAAATAGATATTTTCAAAACATCTCTCCAATAATTTGTTTCTTATTAACGAAAAATGTTTGTCTTTCAGGATTGGGTGCATCTTTGGTCTTTACCATATGATCATGGTACTGAGGAACAGGTCATACCACGTCTGGGTTTGGAATGGTTGATCCCATTGTGGGTAGACAGAGACCCAGAGGTCAGTGCACATTAGCAAAATAAGGGGAAAGGGAGTCACGTTTATAGTAGCGAGTGGTAAAGACAGGTCTCCTGGGTTTCAATAATCTATCAATAACCATACTAAGGAGGACTTGCCTTTTATTGATTTTAAATGTCTTTGTCAGTTGGTGGTTTTTTGATGCGATTTTGTTTAATGTTGTTTTCTATTTTTTCATTAAATTTTGATACATTGTACTGCCTGTTTTTCTATTATAGACAGCTCCATCTTATGGGATTTCGCATTTAGGGGAGCCTTGCTTGTTATTGTCAGTGCACATTACCTGGCCATCATGATAAAATCATAATTCTGTCATATATATTTCTCACTGTCTTTGTATGTGATGGCGACATTCTCAGATCCCACATTTGCCACCAGAATCGGCCTCACCTTGCTCGCGGGACAAAAATCTAAGTGCCAGCAGACTGACTGACCATTACAGGGGGTCGGCTAACTGCAGTTAACCCTTTACATACACTAACAGTATCCACCACCACCACATGTTTTAAAAGGAAACAAGCACCATTCACAGCATCTGATATACCGTGTTTCCCCAAAAGTAAGACCTAGCACTATCTTCAGGGATTTCTGTAATATAAGACCTACCCCGAAAATAAGACCTAGTTCGGTGGTAGGTCTTATATTACAGAGATCCGCTAGGTCTTACTTTCGGGGTAGCTGCACATATAATAGAATTTTACATGTCACGGCCGCAGCTGCC